TGGGATATGTAGGTTGTCTAAAACTAAGACTCGGTTGCACACTTTCCTTCTTCTTTTCCTTTTTCTTTTCCTTTTTGAATAACAGTTTGGCAAAAAATTAGTCACTCTATTTATTTTCTTTGCTTGAAAACTCTTCAGATTTCCATCCAAAGAGGGGCATGCTGTGAGCACCTAATTTTTTATCACACTCGAGTTTTCTACCATTTTTGTTAATCTTGATATTTTAACTTTTATGTAGTTTTTATTAGTAGGCTTTATTAAAGAATACGTAATATTTTTAACACAATCTATTACATAGAGGCCGGAAAAATTATTTTAAGCACAAGCTAAATCTAATAAAATTACTTCCTACCTTTCCTACACTATTCCCTTGTCCCATCATCTACCTACTACACTATTCATGTGTCACATCTCACTCCCCTTTCACTATTCCATTGTCCCATCACCCTCTTCATGCACTCTTCTCTCTTATTTTTTTAATTATTTAAACACCCTCAAAGGGCAGTGTATAGGCCAAAAATTTGCCCTTGGAATATTTAACATAAAATGGCATTAATGAATGTCATCGGTCGAGCTCGCCTAAGCGATAGTGAGATTAATAGTCGTGGAGTCGATATAAGTCGTGGTCAAGGTATCAACAGAGATCGATTATTAGTGATAGGACTTCTAACGGCTAATTTGTCAGAATAGGGTATTAAGAAGGGAAATATTCTAGTGAATATGTCTGGTGTTTGTACTATTAGGGTTTTCTAAGAAAATGGGCCCATATATAGAAAAAAGGGACAATGATAAGGGTATGTAATATATTTATGATAAGAACACTATATAGAAGGGGACTCTCTCTCTGATAAAAACACAAAGGCTACCTTTTTATAAAGATTCTCATTCATATTGTTCCCCACTTTTCCACCAGATCCAAGGATTGTTCATGCAAATCTTGGATCTATCTATCATTCACCATAGTTAGGCAGAATATTCACCTTGTCCATTCATTATCGGGTGAATCATTCTCTTTATTTACATAAATGCCATTTATTGACATTTATTTCTAGATATATCTCATTTAATGTTCTTGTATTAAGAGTATTTCAGATTTATTGTCATCAATCATATGCAAACTCAGATCTATTTATCTTGCATCCTTGTGCTTAATATCTAGAGTCATTATCCTTAACTAGATTTAACCCTTCGTTATATAAATTTAATAGTTTAGCCGGAGATTATATTTCTTGGTCAAACAATTTAGCGTCGTCTGTGGGGATTTTCTAGTTAAATCTTTAGTTTCTTCCAGATCTATAACTAACACAGTTTACAAAAAAAAAAGAGCAAAAATCCTTTTTCCTTTTACACACGGATCTGACATGGCATGTAATGGAGAAGGAAGAATGAAGAATGAAGTTAGTGAACGACCTCACCACCAACCTCTTGAACACCATCAATGAGGTTTCTGAAACAGAAGGCGAGGATATAATGCCTAATGCCCCTCCCCCCCAGGCAAGGTGGGTCGCCCCTCCCTCACGATAGTATCGCAACATCCCGCGGTAAAGGAGCTTCCACGTCCATGACGGAAGAAGCGCCACTAGCAGTGAAAAAACTACTTGAGGCTTGGCTAACTAACACGCTAACCAGCATCCTCGACAAGCTCACCCAGGAGACAGCTTGAGCAAATGCAAGGACTTGCATTACACCGACAACGGCCGAGCAGCACGGCCCATTCCCTCCAGTAACAAGTATCACTCACAATGTTAATAATGCAGGTTACGACACCCTCACAGCCATTCTAAGAAAGATGGAAGAAATAGAAAATGAGAACAAAGTACTTCGGGACCAAATAAGAGAGCACCAAGAAAGAGTCGACAAAATATCGGGTGCCCCAAAACTCTTGCCAAAAAGAGATGTTGGTTGGTTCGTCAAGCAACCATACAGTGACGAAGCCGCCCTGCATGCCATACCCAAGACCTTCAAGATGCCACCTTATTTGAAAATATATGATGGCATGACCGACCTCGAGGATCATATAGCCCACTACGTCACCGTCGTGAAAGGCAACAACCTCACAAAGGAACAAGTATCCTCCGTTCTGCTAAAGAAGTTCGGCGAAACCCTCACGGGAGGAGCACTAACCTGGTACTCACAACTACCAGCCCGTTCCATCGAAACTTTCGAGGAAATGGCTGATAAATTCGTGACGGCCCACACCAGGGCCAAAAAGGCCGAGACGAGAGTGAATGATATATTTGATATCAAACACTCGCCAGGAGAAGGACTTAGGGATTTCCTAGCCCGTTTCAACCGAGTGAGAATGACTTTGCCCAATGTATCAAAAGGAATGGCGATGTCCCCTTTTCAAAACGGACTGAATAGAAATGGTTCGAGAGCGATAAGAAAATTACTTAGTCGGCTTATGAAATACCCCCCCAACAACTTGGGACGAGATACATAATGCATATTGTGCCGAAGTTCAAGAAGACGAAGATGACCTCAATGGGCCAACTCATCGACTGACCTCAGTACAAGCAGAATCCAGAAAAGATCGGAGAAGTGATATCAGAAGAGATCCGGCAACCTCACAGCCAAACAAGGACCGACATATCCCATATGTCAAAATGACTGTTATACCCTCATCCTGCCATGAAGAAGGCCCACCCCTGTCTAGAATAGGGACTCACCGAAATGAAAGAGGTATGCCCCCTTTAAGTGGCAGCAAAAGATGAGGTCAGACCCGAATACCAGAAAATCTGACACCCTCTGCGTGTTCCATCAAGAGCGAGGACACAAAATAGAAGATTCCATCGCCCTAACACATGAGGTCGTAAATATACTGCGACAGGGGCACCTCAAAGAACTGCTGATCGATCGGGGAAGAACTAACTTTGCCAGGGGGCGAGAACAACATCAAGGAACGCCGAAACTGCCCTCACCAGCCCACCCCATCCACACGATCATCAACGGTGAAAACAATGCTTCCATCAATAGCATAAAATTCACCATGACCCACAAGCTCAAATGGTCGATCACCCATGAACGGTATGAAAAACTCGAAGAAAGTATCATCTTCGATAAGTCAGATACCAACGGTTTGACATTCCCTCACTATGACACTCTTGTTATTACTTTATGAATTTTAGATACCGACGTAAGATGGATTATGGTAGATAACGGAGGAGGCACGTGTATTATCCATCCCCGAGTACTCACACAAATGAAACTCGAGGACAAGATAGTACCACGCTGCATCACACTAACGGGTTTTAATAATGTAGTTGAACAAACATCTTGCGAGATCACACTCCCCGTCCTAGCGGGTGGCGTCACTCTGGAAACCACATTCCACATCATGGATCAGGACACGCATACAACGCCATAATAGGGCGACCATGGATACACACCATGAGAGTTATACCCTCAAGCTTGTACCAAGTCATCAAATTTCCAACTCCATGAGGGATATTCATCATAAGCGGGGAACAACGTACATCTCAAGAATGCTACCGCATCGTCCTAGATTGTACGACCACCCAACAAATGAAACACAAACAGAAGGAAGCATAGCAATCAATAAGGTCGTGGTCGGTAGACGACGACATCAAAGACGTCATCAAAGGCCCCGATATGGCCGAGGCTACAGGATCGACTATAGAGGACCTCGACCCCATTCAGCTAGATGTCAACAATCTCAGCAAGAAAGCTTACATCGGCTGCAAACTCCAAGAGCCAGGTAAGTTTCTCAAATTCTTAATTGCTAACACGGACCTGTATTCTTTTAGCCATGCAGATATGCCAGGTATCCCAATAAAGATCACCACACATAAATTGAACGTCGATCCACTCTATCCCGATGTAAGGCAGGTTCGACGCAAGTTCAATTCCACAATCAATGATGCGGTACGCGAAGAAGTGGAAATATTATTGGAAAATGATTGTATCAGAGAGTCCAAGTACCCCCAATGGGTCGCCAACGTGGTCATGGTAAAAAAGAAAAATGACAAGTGGCGGATGTGCGTGGATTTCACCGACCTGAACAAAGCTTGCCCCAAGGATTCGTTTCCACTACCTTATATCGACCAACTCATCGATGCGACAGTCGGACATGAGTTGCTGAGTTTCCTGGATGCCTACTCGGGCTACAACCAGATCCTTATGAAGGAAGCGTACCAGGAAAAGGCCACCTTCATCACCCACCAGGGGACGTATTGCTACAGGGTCATGCCTTTCGGACTGAAAAATGCGGGGGCAACTTACTAGAGACTGATGAAGAAAATGTTCAAAGAACAGCTCGAAAAGATGATAGAGGTATACATCGACGATATGCTGGTCAAATCCAAAAGGAAAGAATATCACATCGATCAATTAAAAGAAGCCTTCAGCATATTCAGGCAATACGGCATGAAGTTGAACCCCAAAAAGTGCGCATTCAGCGTTGACTTAGGAAAATTCTTAGGCTTCTTGGTATCACAGCGGGGCATCGAGGTCAATCCCGACCAAATCAAGGCCATCGAGGGCATACTAGAGCATTTGACCACTAAAAAACAAGTCCAGACGCTAACCGGTCGTATAGCCGCCCTGTTGAGTTTCATCTCGCGATCCTCCGATAGGTGCCATAAATTCTTTGATGTACTTAAAAAGGAAAACGGCCTCCAATAGACCCCTGAATGCGTCCAAGCATTGAAGAAGTTGAAGGTATACCTATCCTCGCCACCGTTGCTCTCAAAACCAGAACCAGGAAAACTTCTTCTCGTCTATCTCGCCGTATCCAAAGTAGATGTGAGCGCAGTCCTAGTCCAAGAAAGTAAAGATATGCACTCTCCCATCTATTACATTAGCAAGACACTAGTAGACGCCGAGATGAGGTACCCTCACCTTGAAAAACTGGCTTTGGACTTAGTCATAGCTTCACGGAAGCTTAGACCGTATTTCCAATGCCATCCCATCTCGGTCGTCATGACTTTACACTTAAGAAGCATTTTACACAAACCCGAACTTTTGGGCAGATTGGCCAAATGGGCCATCGAACTAAGCAAGAACGATATCACATATCGACCACAAACGACGATAAAGTCTCAGGTCCTCTCGACTTCAGTGCGCACATACTGTCCGAAGTCGAAAAGGAAGCCCTCCACACTTCTCAAACAAACGACCTCTGGGTCCTATACACCGACGGCCCATCTAACGTGTCGGGGTCTGGGATGGAACGCGTACTTGAAGTCCCAACAGGTGAAGTGATTCGCCCATCCATAAGGTGCTCAGATATGACTAACAACGAGGCCGAGTATGAGGACGTGATTGCAGGACTAAGACTAGCACTCAAATATGGGGTGAAGCGACTAAGGTTGCGATGTGATTCTCAGCTTGTGGTCAACCAAGTTACAGGGACTTTCCAAATCAAGGAGCAGAGGTTACAAAAATACTAGACCGAAATCTACAAACTACTACCCGAGTTCGACGAATGTCAGCTCGACAAAATTCCCCGAGCATAGAATATCGAGGCAAACGTCCTCGACAAATTGGCGACAGCCACCAAAAATATCACAACCGGAGATCAAAGTATGGTCCACCTCTTCAATTTTTTTGATAGACCAAATCGAGGTAAGAACCGTAAACCTAACTTGGGACTGGCACAGCCGTATTGCTATATATTTGCAGGACGGTATACTCCCCAATGATCAAAAAAGAGGCCAAGAAACTGCGGATGTAAGTAGCCAGGTATAGCATCGTTCATAACGACCTATACAAAAGGACATATGGCGGCCCCCTAGCGAAATTCTTTGGCCCAAATCAGACGCGGCGTGTCCTTAAAGAAGTGCACGAAGACCACTGCGGAGCTCACTCCATCAATCGAGTGTTGGTTAGCTACCTCATACGAGCAGGATACTATTGGCCCACCATGAAAAAAAAGCCACAGATTTCGTGAACAAATGTGAGCAATGCCAGAAGTATGCCCCAATGATCCACTAGGAAATGGATATCATGGACCCCCTCCCAGCCGGACGAGGTAATGTACGATTTCTCTTGGTTTTGACTAATTATTTCTCTAAATGGGTGGAAGCAGGAGTATTCGCAAAGATACGCAAACAGGAAGTAATCGCCTTCATATGGAAAAACATCATATGCCGCTTCAGCCTCCCCAAAGAAATCCGCTGTGACAACGGACCTCAATTTGCAGGAGAAAAGGTCGCTGAATTTTTTGAAAAATGGCACATCAAAAGAATACTGTCAACGCCCTACCACTCCGCACGTAACGGGCAAGAGGAATCCTCCAACAAGTCAATACTGAACATCATGAAAAAGAAACTCGAAGATGCCAAAGGACTGTGGCCGGAGGTATTACCAGAAGTACTTTGGGCCTACCGAACAATGCCATAAGCGAGCACCGGGGTAATGCCATACTCGTTAGTCTATGGGATTGATGCAGTAATACCAGTCGAGGTCGGGAGCCCAGTCTAAGGTACCTCCGCGAGAGCTGATCCCAGAAGGAAAGAACTCGACGACATCGAGGAATGAAGAGATATGGCTTACATAAGAATGGTCACCCAAAAGCAACAAACAGAACGCGACTATAACAAGAGGGCAAAGGTCAGGCCACTTAAAGTCGGGGACTACGTGCTTAAAGCCACAAAAAAAAAGAAATCAAAGACTCGCGGGAAGGCAAACTGGGAACAAACTGGGACGGCCCCTACAAAATCATGACAGCAGCATGAAAAGGTCATTCACACTAGAAACAATAGAAGAAAAGCGACTACCAAACAACTGGAATATTACGCACTTCAAGTACTTCAATTTTTAAAAGGACGAGGTCCCCAAAGTCGCACTCTTTTTCCCTCGCTCGTGTTTTGTCCCAATTGGGTTTTTAATGAGGCGATGATGGGGATACTTCAGAATTGAAGTGCACAGATGGAAAGCACCAGACGATCAGTTCATTGCTCAATCTCTCACTATATTTCTAACTCGACCAATGAAGGGACTAGATAGACCGGGACTGAGACTGAACTACCATCCAGCACCCAGAAAATATGTAAATCTCTCCAAAAGTATGAATAAAGAACGAGTACATGAAAGTTCATCTCTACTCTCCAAGTAAAGGTTACATTCGACCTCTTTCGAATTAACACATATTCAGCCCACGACCTCAATTAATTAAAGGTTACATTCGACCTCGTTCGAATTAATACCTATTCAGCCCACGGCCTAGATTAATTAAAGTTTACATTCGACCTCATTCGAACTAACACCTATTCGGCCCACGACCTCAATTAATTAAAGGTTACATTCGACCTCGTTCGAGTTAACACCTATTCGGCCCATGGCCTCGATTAATTAAAGGTTATATTCGACCTCATTCGAACTAACACCTATTCGGCCCACGACCTCAATTAATTAAAGTTTACATTCGACCTCGTTCGAATTATTACCTATTCGGCCCACGGCCTCAATTAATTGAAGGTTACATTTGACCTCGTTCAAGTTAACACCTATTCGGCCCACGGCCTCGATTAATTGAAGGTTACATTCGACCTTGTTCGAATTAACACCTATTCGGCCCACGGCCTTAACCAAATGAAGGCTACCTTCAACACCGTTCAACCCACTCAAGTTTGTTACGGCAAAGGCAGTCAAGCAATAAAATCAGAAAAACGTGCAAAGTCGAACAAAGAAAAGAAGTAATGTACGAACAACAAAACCAACACTTCATTAAGAATATTTTTTACAAATGATGCACGCCTAAAAAAAGTTCACATGCCCGCAACAAACACAAAATGGAACTAATCACCACCCGTCTCAGCAGCGTCACACGCTTGATCATTAAGACTGTCTTCACCCACCTCACCGCCATCGTCAACAGGATATTCATCGTCGTACCAGGCATCCTGGTCAATCCGGTTCACGCCAGCATCCTCCTCGTCATCACCAGCTTCTGGTATAGCGGGGTCATATCCACAAGCAAACCGAGCTTTACGTGCCTTAGCACGTGCATTCTCGAAGTCGGCTTCTGATACAGCCCCATCCCCCATCGGATCCCTGAATATATCCAGCTGGTCCTCGGCGTGAATCCATTCCTCATATAGATCCCAAGGAACATCAGGAAAAGCAGAAGTGCGGGATGAGGACGGCTGAGCCAATAACTATGCCTTTTCGGCCTCAAGGGAAACAACTCGATCACTAAGGCCTACAGCCTCTTTTTTCTAACTCCCCTATCCGCTCATCAAGCCGCTCCTCTATGAGCCTAGCCGTTTCCAATGCATAATCCCGCTCAGAACGGAGAACGCGGATCATGTCCTCTAAAGCTTCCGCTTTTCTAGCTGCTGATAACCGGGCCAACTCCACCTTCTCCAAACCCTCCACCTTCTCAGCAACCTTGCTACTCAAAGCAACCACTCCGAGTTGACACTCCTACGGCTCGGCGCGCAATGAGACCACTTGGGCCAGAAGGTCAGCGCATTGGGCCTCGACTCCCCTGCTCACCTCGAGCTCCTCTTCTTTGCCCTTCAACGCCCCCTCGGGCTCACTAGATTTTTCGATGCCCTTCACCAATTCAGCATCCATCTCCTTTAGCTCGTTTCGGAGAGCCCGGAAGCTGCTAGTCCCACCAAGCCGCCTGCAAAGCTCGCGGTGTTTATCACGATACTCGCGATATTTCCGCCCCATCTTTTGAAAAAATAGCCTTACGCCTCTCCTCTCAGTGGGAAATTTCGATCTCAAATATCACGGTCTGAAAAGAAAGCCAGAGCAAGTAAGAACAAAATCAGACTCGACATGAAAAACAAACATAAAAATAAAATACCAAACTTACCCTAAGAGCAAGGCCGGCTATGCTCATCGACAAAGTGGAGTCCTTCAGTTTCTCGAGGGTCTTACCCTGCACATCGGAACAGAAGGGACCAAGAGAAGGGACCATGTCCTCCGTATTAACTAGCAGATCCCGGTCTAGAGGGATCGCAATTTTCCGCGTAGTCCCCTCCAATCTCACCTCTAGCCAGGTGAGTCCTTCTCCCATCATCCTAACCTCCTCGGCGTCCATATCGGAGCCCGAATCGTATCCCTCTTCGGCTACACTTTTGCCCTTCGTGTCTTCTCGAGAAAAAGGATCCTCGGCTAGTGATGAGGTCGATGGCTCACCCCCTTGTAGGGCATCAATGACTCTCGCCAACGGCCCTTCAAAATTTATTTCGGCCTTAGGGAGCAACATACATCCCTCAACGATGGAAGAATTGTGGGCGGTAGCTCGGCATCATCTCCGAAGTTTATGGTCGCCGTTTTTCTTATGATGAAATCCTCCATCGCTGAACTCCCCACACGAATAGCTCCCTCGTCGATATCTACAGATCGTCTCTTACGAGGAAGCAAATTGTCATCGTTCGGCAACAATCCTTCCTCATCATCCTCGTCAATTAGATGACATAGAGGGGAAGTTGAAAGCCCCACTGCAGAAGTAGTCGACGACTGAGCAGGCCTCACCGAAGCATAAAGAATAGAAATGGCTTTCCTCTTACGGAATGCCGGAGCAGGAGCCTTCTACCTCCTCGAAGACCCTTGGGCTGCAAAAGAGATTAGAAAATCAGCTCTTACTTAAAGTCGTAATGAGCAAGCGACCACAAGGTCAGAACAGCATATGTAAGAGATCATTGTATAAGATGAATACGGACGGACAAACTCACCGGTCGTTGAAAGCTTGGGCCCGAACTTCTTGATAAAGGTCGGCCATTCCCGAACCCGCACTGTGTGAGGCAAGACCTGGCTAACCCAGTCGTGAATATCTGCAACCAAAGGAGGGGGCGATGTCTCAACTGAACGAGTAAAAGGCAAAATGTTAGGGTACAATCAAAATGGGCAAACTAAGCGCTTAGCAAAAGATACTTACGGGCATAATTCCATGCCTCACGAAATCCATTCGCATTAGCTACCACGTCCTCGGTCTTGACGTAGAAATAGCGGACTTAGAATCGACGATTTGCTTTATCGTCCAACTTCACCACCAAACTCTTACTTCCTCGATGGCAAAGATGCAACATCATCCCTCTATAGAAATTGGGTGCGAAGAGGTGCATCACGTGGCAAAGAAAGATCCCACGGCCAGCCAATTCCGTGTATTACGTAAACATGCGGATAAGCTTATAAATGTAAGGTGAAAGTTGGGCCGGGCAGACGCCGTAGTAGCGGCAAAATTCCTCCACCAATGGGAGAAGGGGAAATGAGTAGCCTACATAGAACAGATATGCGTAGAATGCGCAGTATCCTGGGCGATGAATCTGTACCACGTCGCACCCCTTCGGGACCAGATCGATATGGGCCGAAATTTTGAAATTCACCCTGAAATTAGCAAGAGCAGCTGCATTCATCACCGATTCTGAGACCTCAGTGTCGTCCTCGAGTAACTTCGAGAAATCGGACCTAGGCTTTTCACTACGAGGAATTATTTCCTCTACCGTAGGGAACCCTTCATCTTCAAGGGCAGCAGTAGAGCTATCGCCGTAAGGAGACACACGCACCTCCAGGGGAGTAAGATTAGACTCCACACTAGAGCTAGAAGTTGCGTTAATCATGGTCTTGAAGGAGGATGTCTAAAGCATAGAAGTTGGAAGCAACGGTCACTAGAACCAGAGGAATGGGCGCGCAACGACGAAGCAAAATAGAGACTAGGATTCAATATGGAAAACGAAAGAGAGAAACGCAGGGGATTCGATATCAAATGAAAGCAAAACAAGCACAAATGGCCTCATATCCCTATTTATAAGAGTTCGAGCACCAAAACTAGAAAATCAATCCATCATTACCCAGCGCAAATATAGAAATGGAAGAGGAGCAAGAAACGACGCAGAGCGTCGGAAAAACACGTCATAATGACGCATGGTGTCATGACGTCATTCTGAAAAGATGCATCCCCAAAGCTTGCAACTTACGAAAAGTCAGGTTGCCACCTCGGCTAAAGCACTGCTACCCAACTTACTCGCCCGATTTCATCAACAACGACAAACAGAGTCCGCTCACCAAGGCCGCCCGACCTTGGCCTTCATAAGCGAAGGGACTAACTGTATAGGCCAAAAATCTAGCCTTGGAATATTTAGCATAAAATGGCATTAATGAATGTCATCGGTCGAGCTCGCCTAAGCGATAGCGAGATTAATGGTCGCGGAGTCGATATAAGTCG